ATTGCTGACTATAAGCAGGAGCCAAGCCCTGCCACGCACGCACGTTTGGCATTTCTCTGTGGGAAGGTGTATGTCGTGTAGGCCTGGGGCTGGCCGCCATGCCTGCAGGTGTCTGGCAGCACTCAGGCTGCAGTGGACTTTCCCCTGGTGCCCTGTGTCCATCACAGCATTGCTTCACTCCTGTACCCGCCCTACAGATAGCAGCACCCTCACCACCAGTGCTTCTGCCTCTCCGCTCCTGTGCTGATCTTATGGAATGAGATTCTTAGTCTTAGGGACTAAAAGAGCCTTTAGAACTAAGTGAGGGTCTGCATGGGAGGCAATTTCTTCTCTATGGGCTTTTCAGGATCGGATGAATCAGCTTGCCAAAACCATCTCCATTGCCAAAACTTGCCAAACCTTCATAGAATCAGAGCATCATTAAGGTTGGAAAAGACCACTGAGATCTAATCCAGTCCCACCGTGCCACTGCCCATGTTTCTCAGTGCCACATCTCCGTGGCTCTGGAACACCTCCCAGCACAGTGACCCCATCACCTCCTTTCATTCCACACTGGGCATTTTTTACCCAAAACACCTCTCTGAAGAGAACAAGATTGTAAGGCATCTTACTCGTAAAGCGAGCAGGAGATACCTCGATTTTCAAAAGAATAATGCTTCCAGCTGTGCTAGTTAGAGGATTTTAAATTTTATGTCTATATTAAATTAATAGAATACAGCTGCATTTTATTTCTAACACAATGTTGTATTACAGTATAGCATGTTAAATCTAACTATTACTACTGAGATGCAAAACGATGTGAAAATAGTGTATTTTTCCTTAACAGTAGAATAAGGATAGCTGAGATCATACAAAGGATTTATATCCTCACATCCCCAAACTTTTGTTAATTCAAGCTTTCCTGACCTGCTCCCCAGCACATCTGCATTTCCTCCACACCCTGCCCCGCACTGCCCTTGAAGAACAAGTCTCATGTCCTCAGAGAGGAGGATCTGAGCATCTATGAGTGGGTATCAGGTGGGCATCTGTGTGATGATGCCACAGAGAAAGGCATTAACAAACTGCAAAGTGCAGGATTCGTGCATTCGTGTTGTTCTAGCTGACCATTAAGAGCACTTCTCAGATTATGTTTTTTTGAGAGGCAACTAAGTAATCCTGTCTTTTACAAGAGGAAGGTTTGAGAACAATTAGTTTTTCTGGGTCTCGAGGACTCTGGTACAAACCCTGCAATCCTCACACCAGCAGCACTTCCACTTCTCCCAGCAGGTGGGAGCTTCTGCTAAGAAATTCCCACTAATTTGAGGGCCAGCCTGGGTCCTCTGGCTGCTATTCTCATCTCTCCTCTCTAACTCTGCACAATCAAATGCCAGGCTCTGAAGTTCTTTAATGCTTTATATGGGCTCATTTCTGCAAGTTACCGAACAATCAGGGTAGAGTGCACAGCACTTTGCAGTTCTGAGGCACAGATGAGGTTCCCTAAGGATTAAATTTGATTCTGTCCAGAGGTCTAGAACTAGACTCATTCCACCCCTGAAGTCCCACTTAAGCATTATTTTGAAGGCATTAGCAATATTAAGGCTAGGTATTTCTCAGTCTTTAAGGATGTAGCAGCAGAGCACTGCAGCACCATATAATAGTCGCAGAGACATAACTCCCAGCCTTTCTCCAGACAGAAGCCAAGGCCAAATGGCCAATCTGAAAACATAAACCTGATCCTGCACACTGAACGTCCAAGCAGCCATTCTGGCCCCATCCTATCTCTATGTGCTATCAGCAACAGAGTCACCCTGCCCAAACTCTGCTCTGGGAGATAGATGCTCAGTCTGTAGGTGTTAGCCGTGGCATTTCTATTTACAGGGGAAAGAAAAAAATAGAGGAAAAGATACCAGATCATAATGGCAAAGCCAGGATACTCCAGGCCCCAGGATAGATAGGGTACAGCACACAGCCAGCAGATTCATTGTTGTGGTAACATTACTCCTCCAAGTATATAAATGTGTATTTCTGCAGCAAGGAGATCTGTCTGTTAGGTTCACATCTTTGAGCAGATTATATTTATCTTGGGGTTGTAAGGGAAAAAAAAATGCATTGCTGACAATGCTTAAGCTGCTCATGTCATAATCACTTGAAATCTTAAAGCCCAAGCTCCTTTGTACTTGTGAGAGGCTCTGCTGACCTCTCTCTATTTACTTTAGAAAACAAACTAGCTCTCTTGGATTCAGAAAAGAGTTTGAAAATGAGGTCTGGAGGTTTTAAACCCAAAAGACAAAAAGAAATCATAGTTCATTAGCTTTTAGAGTAAAAGTTGGTGGTGTTTTTTTTTCCATTGATTCATTTTTAGTGAGCACTTAGTATTTTATAGCATGTGGGCTTAGCAATATCAGAAATAATCTCATAGAAGTGTATTACATTTTTGCACAGCCTCATGCAATAACAATACTGTGCAACCTGAGAATTATTACAGGAGAATGGCTTTTTAATTAACATTAGTATGCGTTACTAAGAGATGTTGTAAACATAAATCAGCTGTTTTAACTCCCCTTACAACATTCACTTAGCATTAGATTCTGCTTTAGGAGAAACTCTCCATGACCCTGTACTAAGTCACTGAATAAATATGGCAGACACCAAAGGAGCTGCCAGAAACTGAGAGATGAGACCTTCCTTATATTTCCTGTGAATATTTGCATCCCTAACAAGCTTTTAATCAAAAAAGAAAAATGGATTCCATTGTGCTACATAATAAATACAAAATAAAAAAACATACATTCTTTTCTGACTACCTCTTAGGAACAATGTCAAGACTTGCCAGAGGATTGTGTTATCTAGAAGTTCCTACAGTAGCAGATATTCATGTTGTTCCCCTGGGGGTAGCTGCCATCCCTTTAGTTTTGGACACCTACCCAGCCCTTCTAGAGGCATAACCAAAAGGTGCATCCAGGCAGTGGTTCCTTCCATCCTGACCCACGAGCTGCTCCCCAAAACTTCCTTCTCTTCCCTTTGAGAGCACTGACAGTCCCAGAGATAAGTTTAGAGACAACATTTAATTTTTGGACAGTTTACAGCATGCTAAGCTGATCACAACCTATTAAGCTCATAGTGGGGAATATTTTTAACAGAGTCGCCTTAGGTGTTTTCCATCTGTGCTGACCTCTTTTATCCTTTCATTACAGGCACTCATTTGAAGGGATGACCTGAACCTCACAGAGCTCCTCTGGGAGATGCCTTCTGGAGCCTTTATCAGCTCAGGGTTGGAACACCCAGCACCACCTTTTGCAGTGGCACCTCCGAGCAGCACTTGGGACTCCTCATATGAACGCTTTATAACACACAGTTGAAACAGCAGAACTCTCTGCTGACATTGGAGGACTGCACCAATGATCTGAGAAGCAGGGCTTGCTGCAGAACTCCCATAGCAACTATTGCTCCACACAGACATTGGAACAACTCCACCTCACATCACCTTTGGGACATTCTGAGGCCACAGTTAGCTGTCCTTGTCACTGTCACCTGCCCTTTATTCAGTGCCTGAGTCAGAAACTCATCCTCCGTGAGCAGCCTTTATATTAACATTTACTGAGTGCACTTTAAAATGTTAAAATGCAATCACAAGTTTCCAGACCAGAACAGGGGTTTGGGTTGTTTGGTTTTTTTTTCACTTAAAATGCCCTGAAATCCCAGAAGACACTGTAAAAATATGTGGAACTCCACAGCTCCAATGGCCAACACAAGCATTTTCTAAATTGCTTGCCTATCAAAATCATATTTGGAATTGTGTTCTGTAAGTATGTGCAAAATTTACATTACAAAAGATGCAGTGTGACACGAAAAAAAAAGAGTTACTACAACAGTTCTGAAACAGTGCAGTGTGGAAAAGGGGCCTCCAAGGATTATTTTTATTGCCCCTAGGACTCCTGTTGAGAAGTGCCTCAGGATGACAGTGGAAAACCTACAATTAAATATTTAAATCACCGTAACAGCATTTCTTAAGGAAAAAGAACTTCAAGAGACCTCTTTAGAAATCGAGTGCTCCCTTGTAACATTACACATGCTAGTGAAATAATTTTAAAATAAAAGGGTAATCTAAATTTTATATTGCCCTGAATGTAATAAGCTCTGGGTGAGAACAGTAATGTTGCAGTAAAATATGAAAGTGCAATGCGTTTTCTGATTACATCAGGGTTTTCTATTTGCCACTTTAATCCTTAGAATTCAGCTGTTCCCTCTTTGGTCCTTTTACATCATCCTTAGCTAATCTGTCAAACATTTCAGACAGCCAAACCAATTTTCAGATTGTTCGGGACTTTGCCACAAGCACCGTGTTCTGTTAATAAGATTTTCATTTGGAGTGATGCCATGTCATCCATGTTTCCTATCGTATATAAATACTGAAGTTTAATGGCTTCAGGTTTTGTTTAATGTTAACATCAACAATCAAAAAAAGGGAGGTTCTCAAACGCCAAGCCCCATAGTGAAATGCACTGGTGACAGCTATTTGCAAGGTTAATGTTGTGGAAAACAACATCCATCTTTGAAACAGTTTCATTAGCCCCATACAGCTGACCTCTCCACATAATGTTGTCAAAAGTGACGTGCATCAGATTATTGGGAATATGGAGATCAATAAATATGCAACACCAGCGCTCAGAACGCTCCTGGCATCATAGCCATACAAACGCCATCTAACATCCCAAAGAGTAGCTGTCATCTGTCAAATCTACTAGCAAATAGACAGGCTTAAGGGGAAAGCTATCGGTAATGGTAAAATACAGAAGTAAAGATGAATTAGGGAGTACAAAGTCAAGGCCCTGATACATTACGGTTCCAAAAGGAAAACTCCAGATAAACACTTTCGACCAACGACTTGCCTTATTTGTTGTGTTCAGTGTAAACCTCTTCTGTGTGGCAATACGTTTCCCAGAGCAGTTTCATGCGCCCATTTTGCCCTTTTGGAGCCACGTGCTCAGCAGTGCTGTGCCCCAGCCCACCCGGTCACTCACCAACCCGTGGTCCAACACTGGTCCCCTCCACTCACAGCATCCCAGGTTTGCAAGGAAAGCCTCTGGAGAAGTTGTTAAGGAACTTGGATGGATGCAGTATACTCCACAGAGGTCAGCGTTTCTTGATAATAAAAAATAGAAAAATACACGTATTAACATGGCTTATTAATTTCAGATGAATTCTGTAGGCTAAAAGCGATGGAACTCAACAGCAGACAGAGACATAATGTGTTTGTTATCATCTGTGTGCTTTGGTTTCAGGTCCCGTGAGCTTAGGCTACAGAGCGATGGTAAATAACAGAATTAGAGAGAGGTTTGGTAGCTGATCTCAAAGGGGAGAAAGAGCACCCAGGAACTCGCATGCCTGAGCTCTCATTAATTGCAGCACTCGAGGGAAATGAAGCTCCCTCCTACCTGCTCTTTGACTGTCAACATTTGGTAAGGGGAGATGCCTGACATTTTTCTTCTGCTTTGTATGTATCACGTTGTTCTCGTCATCGTTTCCTAAATAATTGGTAGTAATCCTCAGCTCGTTGCAAGTGCTGGCATGGCTGCCACAGTGGTGGAATTTTGCAATAAATCAGCAGTTCCAATCAATCCCTGAACGAGGGCTGAAAACTCCCCCAAAACTCACAGTGCTTAATGCTGAGAAGGACACACCTGCAAACAGCTCCTCCTCAGCTAAATATGTACACTGAAGTGTTACCTTCTTACTCGAGGACACGCTGTCCAATTAAAGAGATAACAAATTGGGTTTTTGGTGGTTTTTTTTTTCCTTATATGTTTTTAAAAACAACAGTCATGCTGTGGAAGAAGAGAACAAACAGAAAGCAGAAAGGTATTTTTGAAGTATATAGTTACAAGGTGCTTGGCTGATAATTTGCAACCTTGGTACACAACATACCTTTTAGCAAGGCTATTTATTTCTCAGGGAGAATGCTACAGTACTTAGGATAAAGGCCTCTGTTGGACCTCTTCATCAATAGCAAACCTTTAAGCACAGCACATTTCATAAATAGGAGTTCCACTAACACAGACTTCAAAAGGATAGAACCTGATAATTCAAAAATAGAGCTATATTAAGTGTTCCAACAGTCCATCCATAAAAGCAGCCTCCAAACGCCTCCTCTGTGCAGCATGACAGTCTATTAGAATAATAGCAGGGGAAAGCATAATTACAAGTAATCATTGGCTGGAAAGGAGCTAGTTGTTTTTGTAGAGTAAAATGCCTTACTGAACCCAGCAGAAAATGCAGCGCTGGTTCTAGCAGGGAGGGCAAGTAGGCACAGAAAATAATCAGAGCACGCTTCTTGAGCGATCCAGCTTTACTTTTTAAGCCCTTATGTCAGTCTTGATATTCTCCCAGTGAATCACACTTAGTTTGCTGCCACTTTTTTAGTTCCCCTATTTTTGCTGTTGGCCAAGTAGTGACTTTCCTCCTGCTGGAATTTCAGCTTAGTTTGGTGAGATATGTGACTTAATGACTTCATTCTTGCCTGCGTGAGTTACCTCAAAACATTCTAAGATGAAACATCTTCCACCACCCATGATTTTTAACCTACATCAGAATGTCTACTGCAGATTGTAAAGGTGGTGGTACAAGAAAGTTCACAAGGGATTCATAGAATCACAAGGAGATCATAGAATCGTTAAGGTTGGAAAAGACCACTAAGATCATCAAGTCCAACCCTCAGCCCATCAGCATTCTCCCCCCATTCCCATAGATGTAGAACCTGGCTATCTTGTCTTCAAAAGCAAAGAATTGCACCCCAGTGAATTGCATTTCCATTTGTAGCTGAGCTCCAGAAAACCCAGTTCTGAGAGCTTCGTTTCTCCTTCTTCTAAGTGATTTCTCATCAATCCCACTTCTTTTGTGCCCCCCAGCCTTACAAGTGTCTCAGCCTTTATGCTCCGCCATTAAGACATTTGGAGATCTGCTGCTGACTTCAGCCAAAGTAGGCTTATGAGTTCTACTCCCATGTACTATCCATATGGATCCATGTACGGATGTTCTTGTTAGAGTTGTATCTCTTGATGACCTATGTATTGCAGCAGCCTGTTGCACCACGTTTTGGGAGACACAGAGGAGGTGGCTCCCAAAGGACCTCCTCAGAGAGGAGGTGGCTGAGGAATACAGAGTGCTATTTTGGAGCTATTTCCCTCAGCTTCCCTGCCATTGCAAAAAATTAACAATTTCCCCTCATAGGAAGAACACTCCGGGTCAGATAAAGCACAAGAACACGCCTGGGCCAATTAAGCAATTATAATTATACCATCAACTGCCAATCATTTTATTTATTGTGCTATTCCAGGTACAGGAGCAGCACCTCTCTTGTAGTCATCATGTAGAAAACACCTCTGCAGACCAGCCTGTATTCCCTTCCTCTTGTGATAATGCTTTCAAGTTGAAAACCTCTTTTTGTGAGGACAGTCCCATTATAAAGTGATATGCTTCATCACAGCCAGCACACTGAAACCAAAAAGTTTCAATGTTCATTACATTACCTAGTCTTAACAACGAAATACAAACCAATTTTAATCAATATGTAGTAATAAATAAATATTAAGGAACTACACCACTGATGCACAGGTAGCCTAATTAAAGTAACAGCATTTGCTGCACTTACATACCTTAATTTTCCCTACAAAATCCTTATTGAACCACTACTTTAAAAAAAAAATTGCATTTGCAATTAGAAACACTGAAGTTACATTATCGATTTTCTGCTAAAAACCTTTTTAGTAAACAAGCACAAACTACATTCATTAAATGTAAGTGCTTGGAGCTATGGTGTGAAATTCAATTCAGCCATTATCATGAATTACACTGATTATTGCTGTAATTATTTTCTCTTGGATACAACTGCATTTCTGTTCCTTGCTAGTTGTGTTGGACATATAACCATGTTCATTTTATAGCTAATAATACTGAACTGCAGTTTCAGCAATTACTATCACTTATACAAATCATTAAGTTAAGCTATGGGTACCTAGTATAATTAAAAAAAAAGTAAGTAAAAGATCCTTTTTTTTTTTTTTCCTTTTTTTTCTTTTTTTTCTTTTTTTTTTTTTTTTTTTTACCTCTGAAATAAGTAATGGCATTGGCAACAGAGGAAAATTACTGGTGTTAAATGACTTACGTTAGAAAAAAGTGATCACCTGTGATCCACTTTCAGTGATATTTTGGTTGCAGTGAACTCATATCCATCAATTAAAAGCCTGCCAGACCACTGTATGTTTGCCTTTACCACACAGGATACAAGGAGAAACTTTTCTCCCCCAGGGACCGTTTGCAAGCAGGCAGACCACAGCCAACATTAAACATCCTGATCATTTGATCCATTATAACCGTCTGTTTTACAAACCATATAAAAAAATGGCATCAGCAAAAAAATAGTTTTCAGTCAGAGACCCTTTTCCAAACCCAGTGTGACTACAATCAAGCTGTACTGACAGCAATCACAGAATCACAGAACCATAGGGGTTGGAAGGGACCTCTGGAGATCATCAAGTCCAACACTCAGTGGTTTCTGCTTTTCAGCCCAACAGATGCCCAAATCTCCCAGCATTTTAGGCCAAATCCATAAGTGTCAATTTCAAGTGTTGCTTGAGTAAGAAGGTCAGATTTTTGGAAAGCAGTTATTTCTATAACAGACAATGCAATAAAAGTGATGTTCTTGAAAAGCAATTATTTCTGGAATAGAGATGAAGAGCAACTGGTGAATAAGACTGCAAAACAATAAGAAAAGATATCTTGTTCAGCTCACAGTATCACAGCCAAACCGTGTTTGACAGGGAGTCTCCTGGAAGAACAAATTTTGCTACAGAGAGAACAGAGATTGTACACATCCATGCTGATATTCTGTGCTCTCTGCTATAGCCCCTGCAACCAGGCATGATGGGTTTGTTATAATTTGCCCAATAGTTACATTAAGCATCATGGATGTGCACTGCCTCAGACAGCATTCGCCAGGCTGTTTGCAAGTCACATGCATGCAGAAAAACATAGGGAAAAATCCCAGGCAGCTTTGGAGCTTTTTTCCTTTGTCAGAGGACAGAGCGTGCATTTGATCGCATGCAGGAGTGGGATAGGAACCTAAGTTTGGCATAAATGCTATGGTCTAACGAGTCTTCTACATGAACTGCTCCCGATAAAACTTGGATTAATAAGGGAAAAACAAATTTATGTGAAATGAAAAAGCAATGCTTTTTAATATTGGATTTAAAATTCAAGTTAATTTCAGCATGCACTGCTCCTCAAGCCAAGCCCATCCAAGAAAGGAGCTGTGCTTGCCCATGTATCTCTAAGCAAATCTCTGCCCAGGTGCTGCTGTTCTCAGGCTCCAACAGACTCTGCATTCTTACACCTCTTTATGCTGGTGAAGGCTACGAGTTGGAGGCACTTTTAACGAAGGAAGCATTTATGCAATGCTAGCCCTGGCTTCATTGTTCAGAGTATTTTTTTCTGTCCTTATCTTTCTTGTAGGAAATCCTGCTCAGAGCTGACTGTGCAAACATCACTTTAAATGGAAACTTCCTGACAATAAAGATCATTGGAATACAACCTAAAACAAATGTGGAACAAAGTCTTACTACGGGCACCAGTCCTGCATTAGCACATTTCTGTGGCACTGTGGCACCTGTTGTGATGTATGTATTAACAGGCATCAACAGATGTTATATAATATCTAAATATTTTTCTCCTTTTTTCTCAATAACCAAAGCCAAAAAATGGCGTAAGCCAAACAAATCCCAAAACAAAACAGCAAGATTCTCATACTTGCAGCCATTGCTGTATCTCACTGGACAATAAGTGCTGTCTCCAGGAGTGTCAGCCCTCTGTTATCAAAGTCTCCTTACCTTTTTTTGCTTATGGTTATCCAGCAGCAGTGCAAATGCTCTTCAGTGCCATGAAAATTCTGTAATGAGATAATGAATGAGAGGGTCTACTGCAGGTTACTGACAAAACTGACATGTGCTACACCTCTCTACCTGCCAGAGAAATCATTGCAACTCTCTCTACCTCAACTACCTCCATTTACAAAGGAGGAAAAGTGGTACCAGCTTATTGTCAGAGCGCTCTGAGTTCTACTAATGAGAAGTTGTGGTCTTTTCAGTGAAGAGCAGATACACAGAAGTTCCTTGCAGTTTTAGAAAAAAAACATTGGTTGTATTTTCAAAAATGAAAAATTTGTAAGAGAAACAGGTATGCTCTGAAGAAATAAAAATAACCCCTCTGCATTCAAATCCCAGAGAAAGATTGGAAGGCTGGGACAAAATTCAATGCAAAATTTTCAAATTGCTGAGTTCTGACTTGCTGCTTTATTATGTGCAAAATTAGAAAGCACTGAATTAACAGCAAGGAAATCCTACCTGATACACAAGAAAACAATGGATGTTGCCAGATATCTTCTTCATATAGGAATCTCCTCTGGCCACTTTGAAACCATGTAACACAACCTTCAAAGCAGAGAAGAGTTGTTGTATAAGTTCTGCTCAGCTGACCATGAATACTAATTGCAGGAAGAACAATCTTCCCAGCCCAGAGGGCATGAGCTCACCAACAGGCACAGCAGTGTCATAATGCTGCTGCACACAATGGAGCACGGTGCCAGCCAGGAGTGTAAAACAACCTTCCCAAAAGCCAATGCCTCCAAATCTTTAACAAAATTCTATAGATAGAAAAGTCTGATTTCTTCCTTGATGGGAAGAGAGCATTGAGAACAACTTTGGCTCCAGCAGTAGAGTTGGTGTGTGCTGAGAAAACACACTACAAAATCACCAAAATGGCATAAAAAAGAGGTAAAGCCTTGACACCACCTCACTCAGGTTTCCAACTTCAGAATAAGCAGGACTGGACAGAACAACAGAATCACAGAATCGTTAAGGTTGGAATTGATCACAAAAGCCCAACTCCAATCCACCCTTACTGCCCACATCCCTCAATGCCACATCTCCGCTGCTCTGGAACACCTCCATGGAGGTGACCCCACCACTTTCTGGGCAGCTGTGCCCCCATGATCATTCTTTCAGAGAACAATATTTTTTGTTCCAATATCCAACTTGAACTGCCCCTGGTGCAATTTGGTCCGTGTTGTTCCCTCAGTGGCACGTGAAACCCTCCTTGTTTGGTGCTTTTTTCTTTTTATAGGTTTTCTGTGCCAAGGGCGGAAATTGATGTTCTCTGCTTGGTAAATCCAAGTGCAAACACTCTCCCTTTCAACTTGCCAGATGACCTGTTTGGCAGCTGCATCACACACCTGGAAGTCAATAGATGTCACCATAGCAAATCTTTCCCACTCTTTGAGAGCTTCACATGCTTCATGCAGGCAGCACAGGACAGATGTAAAATCCATTCCTCGTGACAATACAGGCAGCCCAGACTCTGGGGTTTGGGTGAGGGGAGGGAGATGAATCAACTTTCAAACTACTGTTCTGCCTCCACATCATAACATTTTGGAATCTCTCTTTATGAGGGGACAGAGGAGCACCTCAGGTGCACTGCTGTGTCCTTCTCCAAGCGTCTACTGCTCGCTGGAGCTGCTGAAGTAGATGGGGATGAGGGATACGTGGACGGGAGGCAGGCAGCATTCATTTTTCTTTCTTACAAATGACTCAGATACATACAGCTCTGCCTTGAGATGGGGAATGAGCTCAATGAGCTATTTTCTATAGCTCTATTAATTTGAAAGTGCCACATGGAAGACAGTTTTAAAAGGCTTGATGTTCAAAGAGAGAGTTGTTATCACTGTTTCAAAGTCAGAATCCCCTCTCAAGTCCAGCATGAGAAACTAAAAAAACAAAATCACTTTTGGAACATGTGAAACACTTCTGCAGCTTTCTAATATGTTTAATAATAATCTTGTTGATATCGGTTCTGTGATGCCTATCAACCAATGCAGAGCTGCATTGCTGTAAGGAAAAAAAAAGGAAGGCTCCATTTCCAGGTCAGGAGATGAATACAGAGAAGTTAAAATAACTGGAGGAGCTATGCCTACATGGTCAGTCTGTAGTTCTCCTAAAGGAACACGTGTTCTCTGGACCTTGCTTTCTACCACAGAATGGGCAGATTCCCTCTGCTCCAACTAAGCCTGCCAAAAGCAAGAGCAAACCAGAGACCAGTTCAAAAGAATGGGAAACCCAATTAGAGAACAATATGGCTGAGGATGGGTTGATTCCCCTAACGAAACATACAGCTGCCATGGAAATCATATGCAAGGAGGATAGGGGGATAATACTGTTAGTTTAATCTGCCCAAACACAGCCTTGTAGAACTTTGCTTTTTATTTGTTATTAAGAGAAATTGCAGCTGAGGTTTTTCCTCTGTCCTTGTAGTACTTGGATCTGTACAACAGAGGTACTTAAAATGACATTTATACGACTGCTAGCAATGGTTGATCAGTTAGTGTGACACAGCGCAGATAAAAGCTCCAATTAGGCCTCAACCGTTTACTTAATAGAAAGACCTGTTAAGAACAAGAAGGATTGCCTGTTAGCAGAAGAACAGAACTTTTTCACATGGCAGATTATCATTATTCTTTAGATTCTCACATAAACAAGGCTGAAATGCAATTACATTTTCCACAAGGACCCAAATGCTTTTAACCTTTCCGAGGTAAAAAGAAAATAAAAATGCTGAATCTGCTGTTGAGTTAGGTCCAACCAGCTTTTTTTTTTTTTTTTTTTTAAGTTTTTGTTTCATTTTAATAATGGTTTAGTCTGTTTCACAGCCTGTGGCCTCTTCAAACCTGTTACTTTAAAGATATAGCAGATGCTTCCTAAATGGAAAGGAAATTGTAATGATGCAAATCCCTATTCACTCGATTTTCCAAATAGGTTTGAGCACTACAAGCTGTATAGGGCAGGTGGGGTAGTGTTACTGACAGCCAAAAAAGGTAAACTTGAATACAAATGGACAAATCGAGCACACATGCTCGTTTGGGAAGTTTGTAGTCAGCTCCCACTCTGCACCCGAGAAAATAACCTATTATATCACCGAGTGTCCTTCTCAGCATCAGAAAGCTGGAAATTAGCTTAATTGCTGAACTGCACCTAAAATCAGCTGCCTCGAATGTTACAATTTGGCTTTTAGTCTCATCAAAATTCCAAATATGTTAAAATTCTAATTTGCAAATGTGCTAAATTAACACTTTGAAACCACAATATTTAACCTGTTGGCTAATCTGGTGTCAAGTGAAAACAAGTCAAACAACATGGAAGCCATAAGCCATACAAAGAGCCACGGCAATTACCTAAAAATCTATACTGTGAGGAGCTCTGAAGTTGGGTTTCATTACAAGCCCTATTAGGTCCTTTCTCCTCCTCCTCCCAGAAATTCACACAGATTGTTCTGAATAAAAGCGAGGTTTCTTTATGCAGGCATTTGCTGAAGGAAGCTTTAACTTAAGGCTTTTGACAAACTTTTATACACTCTCTCAGAAGAGGCTGGTATGTGAGCTGAGAAACAAAACATTACCTTCGATTAGAATGCAATCTGCACAGACCAAGCTCAGAAAAATACCAGAGGAACCCAGAAAGCAGATGAATAGGCTGCATGGCCACAGTGACAGCAGTGCTGACGAATGGCAGGCAGAGGCAGAACTACTGGAACTCATACATAGAATTCTCTGTAATTGCTGTATACCTTACACTGAATGACCTGTGTTACAAAAATAAATAAATCAATCCAGGGAACATACAACCAGGAGTGGTGCTAAAAAAACGATTGTATAGAAAATCTCTACTCTGTTCAGTGGAATTTCAGCTTTGCATTTGCAAATTGCTGGCTGGCCTGGTAGCAGTATGCTAGAGAAAGGCTGTGCAGGAAACACATCAAACAAACCAATGTAATGTCAATGTTTGTAACACTCCATAGGTTCCTAATCTCTGGGTCTCAATGTAGATTTAGCAGATACTCAACGCACCAAAATGTGCTTCAGAAGTTACTAACCTTAAGCCTACTGGCTCAGTGTTGATCCTCATGTCTGCTGGGACTGAGAAATAACACGTATTTATTTTGTAGTCATCAAAAGGTCACTATTGGGTGTGCAGTTTTTCCTCGCTGTTGGCCTATGAAGGAAAAAAAAAAACAGAGAAGGCATAATTTGTTCTTAACGTGACCATGGAATTGATTATTGGTGTGTGCAAGCAATGGCCATTATAAAATGGAGGAGGCAAATTTGTGGGTATGCAGAAATAGTGCAGTGAGTGTCTATGCCAGCTGCTCAAAATGGAGGATATGTTTTACTCAGTAATCAAGAAAAACTACTTAACATCAAATACTTCAGTATTGGCAACCCAAATGTCTAAAAGAGAGCTTTCCTTAAACAGAACTTATATTTAGCATTTTGTAGTTTCCAAGGATACAAGTGGTAACTAAATAAGTAAACAAAGAAAATATAAACATTTACCTTACCAGTTAGAAGCAGATGGAATCCCAGTGCTCTGGAAATGTACCAAATACCACCTCTGTATAGCCAACAGTAGCTTTGTGGGCAATCTTATTGATACTTCAAACATTCTGGATGTAAAAGAGCAACAAAAAGAACGTCTAATACATAGGTGTTACCACTCTCTGGCTTTATTCAGGCTGGATATTAGGAAAAATTTGGCCCCTGACAGAGTGGTGATGCAGTGGCACAGCTGCCCAGGGAGTGTTGGGGTCACCGTCCCTGGAGGTGCTCCAGAGCAGCGGAGATGTGGCACTGAGGGAAGGGGCAGTGAGGGGCTGCAGCAACTGATGTGAAGGGTGAAAATACCCCATTGTGCAACATGACACCAGCCTAATGGTTACAAATGTGTTTTCTAGAAGAAGCGGAGAAAGGGCTTGGGAAAAGCCTCCATTCTATCCGATGTGAGAGCTTTTGTCTTTTTAAAGCAGCTTTTTATTGTAAGCATCTCCCCTGTTCAGGACCAGTGTTCAGAAGCACTGTCCAAAACAGTATGATTCATTTCTTATGCCAAAATCAACAGCGTTTTGGGAGTAGTGGCCAAATAAAACAAGGCAAGGATTAAATCA